TGGCCATGAAGTGCCTCTTCTAGTTCATGAGGTTAAATAAAATATTACGATTCTTTTCCATGGAAAAAGCCTGGAGCAAATTGAATGGTTGAAGCATGGGTTAGAGTTAGTGTTTGTGCTGTTCTTGTCTGGCATGGATGTCAGAAACAAATTTTGTTCGCATGAGACTAAAAGATGTCAGCAGCTCTCACATCTTGTACTGCACACATTTCACTACTGGAGCTGTTGCAAATACCGTTTCAACTTAAGTTGATTTCTGTGTGCTGTTGAGGTTTCTCAAGACCTTTCTATTGGAGGAAATTTTCATTTTTTGCCTACCAAGCCGCCCACTCTTTCCCCGATGCCTGGATTACATCCTATCAGTTACTCAAGTTGAACTTTTATTGACACTGAGTATTTTCTTTACGTTGTGCATTTGCGATCAGAAGCACAAGAAAATCCGAGCTTAATTTTCATCCAATTGGTACAAAGCAGGATGCGGCATATACATATTCAGAGGGATGACACCCCGATGACGCCACAACCTTTGTATGCTCAATGAAAGCAAGCGAATTGATTATTGGACGTTTCATTTGATGTAAAGGGACAATCATTTAGAGTTTGGATAGAGAGTGACTGTGTGGTGTGTAAGTCAAAGAAGTAAGAGTTATTGAAAAGAATTGATTCAAGTGCATGGTCATAGGGTTAATATCTCATGGATCAATGATCCAAACCCTTTTGACGTTCTCTAGCCTTTCATTGTCTGTTACAAGCGTTTGAAACAACATCATCACATCACAAAATACCATGTGATAATGAAAAGGAAAGCTTCAAAATAAGGATATTTCACGAATGCATCTGGATAAGAGATGGATTCGTCTTAGATGCAGGAAGCTACACCAGCGTTACAGAAAAAACTACTACCTAGAGCTGAAAAACATATTCAACAACGACTGAATAGAGTATGAAAGAATAATACTTTTGAGATTTCGGGGTGTGTAGCAGAAGACATTAAAATTTGATAGATCTTCGCTGAGTTTGGCAGTATTCAAAATGATCCTTTTGAAAACGCGTAAATGCGCTCCTTCAAATTATTCAGATTACAAAAATTACTCTCCAGATCTCAAAACTATCCTTGGAGTGTTTTGATTTAATAATATGCAAAAAAATACCTCCAACTAATATTGTGACGATTGGAAGAGCTTGAATTATGTGGAATCCCAAAGCCAGAGATTTTTACTCGGATGTCTTTCATACCATACTATTTTCATTGAAAACCAACCCCACTTTTACAAATACGATCCCAGCGTTTTATTTGTAACTCGTACACGAAAACAAGCGCAGATGCAGCCTCTCTTATTTTGAGGCCTGTCAAATCCCTCCCGGATACAAAAAAAATCCAACATGAGTCACAGGTTAGGTTTCTAAAGCTGTAAATGTGAATGTGTCTAAGATCCCCATAATGACTTCTGCTTGTTTGTGTAGCGGCATTTCTTCTGATGGCACTGTTCATCATGACATAACCATTAACTGCAAAACTTCCAGCACCATTTAAACTTTACGGAGACCAATGATCCTTGATTTTGTTTACGATACCTTGAACAACAAAAGCCTGGATAAGAGATAGTTGTAGATGTTGGTGAAAGAAAAATTTTCCTCAGGTTTTTCTTACATGCAGTATAAAAGTCTTATGATTGTATATGAAGGAAGCTACGATCTTCTCTTTATTGATTTACGCTTTAAATATCAAAGCATCTTCTTTAATCAACGCTGCAAGCATTATACTATTTATTTTCGTTATCTTACAGTCGTCATAGCATCACTATAATGAAATTTCTTGACATGTGATCGTCAGGCCGAAGATTTGGGAAAGTGATACCATCAATCTTTGAATTCTTACTGGCTGTTAGTAACCTCAACCAAAGCATCAGATGAATTGTCGAAGAAAACGTTTGAGGTCTCTACAACCAATGGTGGTTTAGATGCTTATCCTATGATTTTTCAACCAACCATTTATATGTCAATGTCGGTTCCGGCAAGGCCTAAATTTTTTCAGATTTATTCAGCTTATAAACTTTTGTAAGACAGCTTCTCAGGTTCTTTAAAAAAAAATTTACCAAAACATCGATTATTCCTATGACTTCGGGATCTTTTGGATCCTCATCCTTTTTCTTAATGAAAGAAACTTTATATTCTTTCTTCTCGTCTACCACCTGAGGTTGTTGTATTTCCGATTTCAGAAGCTAACTTTTACTTACCTTGAGTCCCGCCACTGCTTCGAAGGTAAATAAAACTTCCTAGTATCTATCACAATCAATGGTTCTACAGTATCGATTATTGCTACCATGGTGAAAAATTGTTTCAGTACCGAGTTCTAACGAATGGATGGTTTATTCAAGAGAACCAAATAAAGATAAAAAGCGGAAATTGCTTCGCAGGCCATGCTTAAAGGTGGGTACTCTTTTTTATTGTTCATGGTATATTCTTTCCCTTTCGGGTCTAGCACCAGCCACATCAAGATCTTCACACTACAAGAATAGAACAAAATACTAATGCCGTTTTGAGTGATGGTTTGGAACTAGTTGGAAAATGTGCAACGTGAATTATGTTTCTCCAGATTCTAAGTCACTTCATTGGAAGCTTTTAATCATTTCAATCACATTTAATATTGGTAACCATTGCTAGCTAATGAAGAATACTACCGATTATGTAAGAGACGAATTTTTAGATATCTAATGAGCAAAGGCGTTGGAAAGAAGCTCAAGGAAAAAGGTGATTACTATTGAAAGAAGAAAACAAGAGGTTTTCCCGACATATAAACACCTTAAGAATATCTTCGTTTTTCGAGAAAGTTTCATTACCAGTACAAATAGGATTTCTGTCCAAAGTAATTGTGTTGTCTTGTGAGTTGATTAACATGAATTATGATCTCTCTTCATTTGAAAAAACGGCTGGTATCAATGCACAAAGAAGAAATCGTTGGAAATTAATGATTGATGTGAGCTGTGGTGCAACCATTTCGATGAACACTAAAAAGAACTTAGGGATACGAATAGCATTTTCAAGGTTGAATCCATGCGAGCCACATTACAATCATATCAGTGCCAGAGGAACTTCATGAATATCGCGGAATATTTAAAAAAAATACTACTTGGTTAGTTGTGATGCACGAAAAAAAATTGAAGATTTTAATCCCGGTCAAATAGAGAAAGTTGGGGTAGGAATATTCAATTCCAAAATAAGGTATCTTCAAACTCTTTTTTTGTCGCAGATATGGAGTTCAATGCTTCTGAATCGGTCAATATACAGATTCTGGTTGTCAATGCTACAGAATATCAAATGCGTAAAATTTCAATGAAGAAGTACATATTTCGATAAATTAAAGTTGTTAAGCAACTTTCCACGTCTGCTTTCACATACTTTTTGACAGTGAATGATCTCAACTCTACTCTCAAGAAGCTATATATTCATAAATCTTTCCCGTTTCAAATTAGAAGGAGGAATTAAAGAATCCTTACCATCATCGAACCCACCTCCGTCACTGCTGTCGAAATTCATCAATTGGTTATTTTTTATCTCAGATAGTTGTTCCTTTTTCTGCTTTCCTGATTGTTCCTACTGTTCTGGGATGCAATGTCTCCGCACCGATCCCAAACTAAGGTCCAATTGAATGCCTAACTCGAAGGTTGATATTGACGTATCTTTTGGTCGCTTCATTTAGTCGCTCTTCCATCACCACAGTGTCAGAAGGGCTGCAAGATTCTTGCGTGCGAGTTTGCAATTGACGGACAAGTTGAACTCAACCAGAGAATGCTTTTCTACTTTTTGCATCTGTGTATGGAATTTTGCCCCAATTCAGTGTAACAAGTGACTTAAATAAAATGGAAAGAACAACAATGTTTGCTTGAACATGGAGAAACCCAATTCTCATGTTGGTTCCTCCACCACAACTAGTACTGCAAGTAGAGAAGCCCCTAATTGAATTGCTACCATTTCAATAACTTAATAACTCATGTTATTGGTAACTTTTTAAATCAGTAGGTTGAGTAATGAACTTTAGTGATTAACTTCAAAAGAGTTTGACCCCTATTTTTCCTGAAATTAACAAAACGCAACAAGGGCCTTCTGGCATCCAAACCATCATGGTGGCATCCCATTTGGAAGGGGAATATTCTCCTCCATGGCCTCCTGCATCAAAGCACAAGCACTTTATCCAAGAAACTATGCTTCATTCGTCCTCACCTGTCACCACCAGCTGGAGGCAGCCTACCTCAGCTGGATCCATTCCCAGTTTTTATTGACCAGAAGTATCTTCCAGTCTTGAAGTTGTTGTTTCCAACATTTGTGACCCCCAGTATTCAAACCAAGATCTGTTCCTTCAAAGCACAATGCATGGAGTCTATTTTTGTTTACTTTAGATGATTCCCTGCCTAGCCTCAACTCCGTGCCCTCATTCCATCAGTATTTACAGACTGGAATAAGATCCCAGTTTTTGCAGACTGGTCTGGTCTTGAAGTTGTTGTTGTTTCTGATATTTGTGCCCGACAGCACCAAAAGCAACTCCACTCGTCATTTTGAATAAGATTCACCATCCTTACTAGTAAGCTCCATGGGCCAGTATATCATTTACAGACTGGAAACAGTGTTTTCTGGTCACCATTTTGTTGTTTCCGACATTCGTATTTGACAGCAAACAACAAGAAGAAACTCCTAGTATTACAACAATCCAACCAAGATGATACTATTACTGATGAGATCATACTAATCATCACTGATATGGATCTTTTGAGTGCAAAAAATTGAAGCATTCCAATGGCACTAAAATTTGAGCCTATTTCAGTTGCATCAGTACTAGTAAAGCAGGTGCAACAAGGACACAGCATATTTCTTTGTACCACCAGAGGGAGGTGGAGTAACAATAATACAGTGCTAGTAGAGCAGCTAACAGCCCAAGATAGACTCACTAATCAAAATCAACCAAACAAAAGAAAACTCAATTTTGTCATCTATGGTGAATAAAAATTAGTGCCGGTGATGTATTGAATATTCCTCAGTACCATGGAATGTTATGCCTTTTGCCCAAGATGTTGTCGATGTATGTATCACATAAGCATTTCAACTCATTTAGCGTGTTCCTATACTTGAATTCACAGACATGCGGGAAAACGTCATTCTAGTAAAAACAAATCAAAATGGTATCCAGCAGACGTACACTCAAGTACTATTAGTGTGCACAGGTAGGGATCCTCTCCCATAGAACTAAAGATATGTAGACTGAAGTAGGTTGCCATCTTCGAAAAAAGATATAATAAACAAGTTGTAGAGCTTGGAAATCTTCGCATGGTTTTTGGTCAAAATTTTGCCTTAGCTAAACAGATCCTGTGGGTCTACCCTTGCGAAAGATCAAACGTCCTTTGGCCCACCCTGGATCAACAATACCACTTTTCATCGGTTGGCTCACGAATGCTTTGCCGGCATTTAGTGCAACGACGTCGACATCGTCACTATGCCCCTCAGGAAGTACTCGAACGGTCCCCGCACCTCTAGGAATCATAGCCTTTGGATTCATCGATGCTGGTTCGACGGCAACACTATAAATAACAGAAGGGAGCTTCCTTGACTTTTTACCAGTCGGCGGCAATTGTACCTCGAATTCAATTGTTGTCAATCTCCTCTTTACAGCCTCGTCGTAACTGAGTTTCGAAAGTTCCTCGGTACTGGGTTTCGATGTCGATTGTCGCCAAAATCCTCTCAAACGCTTGCCAGATTGTAATTGTCCTTGTGCTCGAAGGCCGAACTTTCCTTGGCGATTAGAGAGCTTCATTTTGATGGGATGATTTAAAAACTTTTCGCAATGTCTTCGTAATTTAAGATTTCGAATGCCGCTAAAGTCCACCGGTTGCAGTTCCCAGGTTTTGTCCTTCATCAAAAACATTTCTCGTGTCATCCCGCTGGCGGCATTTGACTCGCCACCTTGAATTTTTTTCCTAGCATCGTTACCCATTTTGGTACCCTCTCGCAATCCTCCATACGCATCTTTCGCTTGGAGAAGAAAGCATACTACAAAAATAAGTATATTCGTAATATGACATCGGGATAACATGGTGGAGGTTGTAACAATCTAGACAGAAGCAAAAATCGACTGTGGCAGATAGTTTTGTTGTTTGCTTTTACTCTTTGAACGTGGTGGGTACATAAAAAATGGGTTTTGGATTTGGATCGGGTTATCGAAGCTTGATGTATTCTCTTTCTTTGATTACGTACGATACTACACTACCACTAACCGTACTTACTCGTAGTCACCAAAAAATGAAATCAACGTGTAATACGACGAGCGAGTACCTCCGGTTGCGACCTTCCGTCGTACGTACTTCTACCTAAGGCTTTTCATACACCGAATGAATCAATTTCGATTACAGTGCGTTCGATACCGTACGAATCAAAACGATTTCCACAAACAGGACCTCCACGTGGAATATTACGCGTGGAACCCCGAAAAACAAAATACTTACAGGTAACAGACGGCTCGTATCAACTTCGTCTTTTTCCCAACGCATGTTGCCAAATGTTGCCACCCGCAAAATTTACCCCAAAAAAGTCTTTGTTTGTACTAGTAAAATACTCAACTACTAGAAACTACTAGTACTGTACTGAATATATCCCTCCTCTCATCACTGAAATATGTTATAAGAACATATTTTAATAAATATAAATAATACTATTCATTTAAAACACACCACTACACCAGATAGTTGAAGTTACTCCAATGCTTTGTTTGCATGCAGTAACATCATACTAGTAGCAACTTCTGCTGCTGGTGGGGGTGCAACAACAACAAGAACAGCACCAAGAACAAGAACACAGACCATTCCTTGACATTTTCATGATAGTACTACTAGCTAAATCTGTGGCAACAACTTCCTCAATCTCCTCACTGATGAGTTACAATACATATGCTTTGATTCTTCTACACAGACATCACACTAGTAGTTCTTCCTCTTCACTGGTGCATCTTTCTTCCTGTGGTGGGGGCTTCAAAGTTGGTACATGGCTTTCCATGACGAGCAACAATGGTGGTGGTGGTGGTGGTGGCAATTTTGTTCACACAGCAGAAGAAACAAATCCTACAAACACAAGGGTGTTATTTTCCATTCTTTGAAGTCATGGACGACATCCGCTCTGCCTTAGAAGAACCTTTATCATGTGGAGCTTTCCAGTCCATTTCAATATTTCTGGTCATCAATGCAATTCCAAGAAGAGATTAAAGTTTTTTCCTATCCTAGGTACTGTGGTTGTGTTTTGATTTGTATGTATTGTATGTCTTCCATTCCTTCAAAAAGAATGTGTCACATGCAAAGCTAGTAGTAGTAGTGGCAATTATGTAGCAGGAGTGCACCATTATATCATCAAGCAACTAGTAGGAGTAGCAGTAGAAGAAAATACAAAGGTACCATCTGTTTGTATGAAGTGGTGATGTAGTGTAGGATACTTTGTACTATCCTTCTTTTGTCTGAGATGTCACCATCATTGAACCTTGTTGTTGAATGTTTCTTCTGCTCTACCTGTGGAGCATCAAATTTCTTTACTATCCCTTGCCCTCTACATCTTCTTCTCTGTGTCTCTCCTTGCTTACCAGTAAGATCCACAGTATGAAACCACCCAACCACCCTATTGTCCCTCCATATAGTAGTGGCCTGCTGTACAACATATTCAGAATTTCTTGATCAAGCCATTGACTGTGTGGCCCACTACTGTATCCATCCTGGTTGTACCTTTCTTGGAGACGCCAAAATGTTAATTTAGAAAACATTGAAAGGACGAAGGGCAAAGGACACTTCAATACCTGCAACAAGCATGTAGGGCTAGTACTGGACCCAAATGAAATGTACGCACCAGTTGCACATATTGGGCCCTTATTTTGCATGTAATGACTACTACTTTGACTAAAAAAATTGGCTTGTACCACTGCAGTTTACAGCTGGCACATGCTGAATTTTTAATCTCACCAGCAGCAGTTGTGCACCCAAATAGTCTTGCTTGCATGTGCACACTGGTGTACCCATAGTAGAAGTCAAACTTTTAATCCCATGAGTCATTACACAGTAATTAGATGGCCGAAAATTGACGCACAGTAGAAAAACATGTAGAACATTAAGAGAGATACAACTCCTCACTCAAACTTTTTTTATCTTTGTCCCCAACAGACGCTTGAGTATGGTAAGCACATGGATTGATAGAGATTTTAAACAGGATTCTAGTCATACAGGGGAGTTGGGGGGTCAAAGTAGTGGAATACATTGAAAATGGCATATGACTATAGGACTAAAAATGTGCAAATAGTTTGGCCAGAAAAACGTGGCTTGTCCTATATGATACTCTAGTATACTACAGAACTACACAAGAGCATCAAGAATTCCTATTCTTGATGACACCACTTTCTAATAGAAGCAGAATCAGAACAGAACTAAGAGTTACGATGTCAACAATGAGTTCTGTTCTACAGCTCTGCTGTAGACTCTCTGGTGCTAAAATCTACAGGGGACTGGAAGTACAGAAAGTGGTTCCTCTTGATTGACTACAACACAGGTAACCATATAGAGGAAGATCTACTAGACCCACACATCAGATAATTCATTATAATGCAGTTTCAATCCTTTTCTAATTCATCAGTAGTAAATGTTATTTTGTGCAATTCCTGTACTGTATTCAGCATATGTATGGTACATACCTTTATGATAAACTTATTGTTGTAGCCCACCAAATCCCAATTGTAGTACCATACTACTGCTATGTGTTTCTCACCACTTGAGTTGGTTGAAAGTGGGAGGAAGTAATACTACAACTGCTATTACTGACACCAACTCTGCTTAACTGAGGCCTGAAGCCAGCCAAGTCGTGCTGTGACTGATGAACCACATTCGTCTATCCCACCAACAAGAAGAACCTCCCATCACCACCAGATCCTCATTCCACCACCTGTTCCAGGGAGTCAGCAATGAGCCAGGAACACTCCTCCCCCCCCATGCCCACAATCTCAGATCTGACATTGCTGTGCACATCTTCTAGTAGAAATGCACCACTACTACCACAGCACTGTCGTCTTTGACATTTGTGTTACTGCCACCACTGATTCTTTGCCGTACAGGAGGAAGAGGAGGGATCTAGCATCACCACAGTGCTTCAAGATCCAAAGAGGAGGCCAAAAAGAAGCAGTACAAAAATGTCTGTCACCAGTCTCACCAATGTCCCTTCCCTCCACTTGTTTTATCAGTTGGCAATATGGAGAGCACAGAGGCAACCATAGTTCAACAGCAGGAGCTTGTTGTCTTTGAGCTGCTGGCCTTCTTGAAGACTCCCAGGTATGAGGCCATATTCAATTGTTTTGCTTAAACAAGGGCTGCAAGCAGATACTTCTTAGGTACAAGGAGCCTATGATGCGTCACAAAAACTATTCGCGACCCGTAGCGAACCCCCCATCGCAACCCCGTCGCATGCCC